AAAAAAATGTGTAGAAATGGTTGATTTTTATTATTTAATTGTATTGGTACTATTGAGGATAAAAATATTGAGTCATATAAATTTTATTTTTTTTTTAAAAAATTTATATTCAATCATAGTTTCGTAAATAATAAAAAAAAAAAAATCTGGTCAGATAAAAAATAAAATAAAATGAATTCTAATCTTACTGAAATAAAAGCCTAGATTACAACTGGGCTTACTGTCCAACCCAACTGTTTGGTCTGACGAACATTCTTATGCCCAGATTACTTGTAATCCAGCCCACATTATTTTGGCCCAGTTTAGCTTCTCAGGTTTTCCCATTCCCACTTCACAGTTCACACCCAGAGGCCATAACCTAGGCCGCGCCACCACCAATCACCGCCGACGCCGAGACTCAATCTCGTCAGCCCACACTGTAAGTGTCATCATTTGGGTCTCAAATTTTTGTCGGTCTCGATCGATTGTAGTGAGTGACTGAGTTTTTCTGTAATATGTTGAATTTAGCAGGCATATTAAAATAGATTATTACAGAGCTCCACTTTTTCTTTTCGAATTCTCGTCGGCTGTCCGTGAAAAATGGCTGCTTCTAATTCTTCTAAACTGTTTCGAGGTATGCATCTTTTCGCCTCACTTGATTTAATTTTCATCCCATTCGTGTTCATGAGTTGAAGGGCAAGTATGCGTATACTGACGATTTTTCCATTTCTTGATTTATTTTATATATTCATCTCCCTGCTATTGAATATGTAGCGTAGTAAATGGTGGATGTTGAAAAGTAACAAAGCCATACTCTTCAGCAGATGGGTTTATCGTTTTTTTAGGTGTAGCGTTTAATACGAACGTTTTATCTTTTGTTTTGAGGATAAAGAACCGATTTTTAATTTCTCCAGGTTGTTCTTCATCATGATAACTTTCAAGCATTACAAGTTTATTGGCTGCTGCGATGTTTATTTCTTCTGTGAAGATTCGTGATCCATCCTTTTATGGAATTAGATAGATTTGTATAGATACCTATGTTCTTGACGAAACAAAAGAATTCCCCTTTCTTCGTTCCCAGAATTTGCTCTGTTTTTTCTGCAATTTTCTTAAAATGTACGGTTATTGGCTGATTGTTTCGGGAGCAATACATTTTTTGCTGCTGAGTTTTTCAGCAGTAATTGTGTGCTTGGACAACTAATAAATGGTAACTAATATTATTATTGTGTAATTGGACAAAACATCAGTTGGTCGTTCGATTCTAGGCGGCCTCACCAATGGTGCTTTCGGTTCAATCCATTCATCTCCCCAGTCGACACATTCGAATTTTTTATCCCAGGTTGAAATTATCTCTTTTCCCCTTTTAATATTTATAGCTAAGTGATGATAAAAATGCATTATCTTACATCGATATGTCGAAACAACTGAATTGATCGTTTGTTGTGCTTTTTGTCCAGAAAACGAGAACTTTCATACAGATGAGGACCAGCCTTAAAGTGGGGGACAACTCGGGAGCCAAAAGGGTTATGTGCATACAACCCTTGTATGCAAAAGGGCAAAAATGAAAGAGAACTTTGGACTTCCGAACTCCACATACAATCACAATCACAAGTACAAATCAACTTTCGGATGTATAAACTAAAGAAAAAAGAACTGTTCAAAACTTCAAAGAACTCCAATTAATTCACCTCTTGGGAAGATTGAACTGCCGACTGAAAGTGATTCGATTGCTCGAGCAATTGCGGGCTGTTACTGTTGACACCGCCGCCTGACGAAGCGTAGACCCATCGACCACGAGCGTAATGCGATTCGAGCCAGTCCCCTCACAAAAACCTTTTGACGAGTTGCCATTAAACCCGCCGTGCTCAAGCTCCAAAAACCTTGCAAGCCACATTAATGTCGGCATGACAATATCCTCATCCCCCATAACTAAAAGCTTGAATATTTGTTGTTTTTTCATAAGCCCATGTATTTGTTTTTAATTTTTACATTTATTTTCTTCTGACCCCCAATTCAAGAAACCCAACTCGAATTTCAGCTGCGCGATTTTTGCCTAGACAATCTGCATGCATAGGAAATGTTTGTTGTGAGGGGACTGACTCGGATATCGATGTCGCGTTACGCTCGTGGTCGATGGGTCTACGCTTCGTCGGACGGCGGTGTCAACAGTAACAACCCGCAATTGCTCGAGTAATCGAATCACTTTCGGTCGGCAGTTCAATCTTCCCAAGAGGTGAATTAATTGGAGCTCTTTGAAGTTTTGAACAGTTCTTTTTTCTTTATACATCCGAAGTTGATTTGTGATTGTGATTGTATGTGGAATTCGGAAGTCCTGTGATTTCGTGTTCTCGTTCATTTTTGCCCTTTTGCTGAAGGGTGTCTCGTTTATGTTGGTTGATTATATTATTGTTAAGTGGGTCATAAATCGTAATTAAAGTTGTTATAATTATGCTTGAGGTGTTGTGGAAGTAAACTCTTATTGTTTTCCATTTTAGACTTTGTGCACTCTCTTTACTAGGATTTGGTAGTCAACATTACAAAAGTCAGAGAATAGTAACTTATTGCTCCTTAGAGATTTATGTGGTGTCCTTGAGAGATCATGTCCCTGTAATTTGAAATGTCATATAGATGCACAATTTAATCTTGATATGATTAATATACATAACAATTTATAGGTTATTAAAAAAAATGTGGGGAGTATTTTTGGTTTAATCTTCTGTGTGTGATATAAGATCAAAGGAAAAATGGATCAATAAAAATGTTACTTATTTTTTAATACATACAGTGAGGGGGCACTGGGGCACTACTGTATGATGAATGTTGTAGAAGACACCACTTTAACTTTGCTTTATGTTTCTTGAGTTGCCACAAGCACAAGTTGTGCGTTTGTTGTCTTGAATTGTATAATGCCGTCAATTTTCGTCGTTTTCATATATTCTACTGCATTTTGTAACATTTACTTGTTGCTCACTGTAATTTATTTGATTTCCTACTGTTCAGTAGGTTTTGGGTTGCAGAGGTATTTACACTTGGGTTTCAAATGTTGTTGGACAACAGGCTCAGATTCATAGTAGCTCTGCACTTGAGGTGAATTTCAAGTGCTTATCTAGTTATTTACTTTTGTTAAGACTAAATTGTCTATGTTTTGACTTATGTTAAATGTTGACAGAGAATATGTTAGGAAGCTTTAAGAGTACCTCAATCCTTCTCCTTTTTTCGACAGGAAAAAGTAGATCCTTTCTCTCTTGTTGCCGATGAGCTGTCTATTCTTGCTAACCGCTTAAGGTCGATGGTAGTTGCTGAGGTATTTCTCGCGTGGTACTTCAAATTTCTTCCCACAGGTAGTGTGATGGTGAAGTTGCAATTTGTTTTTATAATTTTTACTTTTTTAATCTCTTACAGGTTCCGAAGCTTGCCTCTGCAGCCGAGTATTTTTTTAAAATGGGAGTTGAAGGAAAGAGATTTCGTCCCACTGTAAGATCTTCGTAGACTGCATGACTTTTTTTTTTTGGGAGGTTTTAATGTTGTGAAAGATTGTGTTAGAGAAGTATTAAGTGGTCATTCTTTTTCTATGTGCAATTGTTTGAGACTCCAAAAAGGTGTGTTTCGTTTGATTTTTTAACTTCTCTAACTTTAATATATGCAGGTTTTATTGCTGATGGCAACAGCTTTAAATGTACCTGTGCCAAGGCAACTATCTGAGGCTGCCGTTGATAAATTATCCACAGAGTTACGTTCGAGACAACAATGTATAGCTGAGATCACAGAGATGATTCATGTTAGTGCTTTTCACTTAATCATTCTTAGGGCGTGTTTGTATATAAATAAACTCAATCCATATTCAAATCATACTCAAATCTAACTCAACTTTAACTCAACCAAACTATCTTTAAACTTATCAGTATAATTAAATAATATCAATCAATCGTTCTTATACATCACATCAGCTTTAATTCACAATTCATCCACTCACATAATTTTAACTAATCATCACTTGACATAATCTTTCTCATACTTTTACATTAAATCAACTTTAATTATTTATTTTCAAATATTATTTTAGTATAAAATCAAAATTCCACAAACAACTAATATACCATCTTTCTCAAAATTAACTCAGGTTAACAAAAAAAAAAAAATCATTTTGAGAGGATATATCCAAGCACGCTGTTTACCATTCTTAAGACTTCAAATACAATCAATCAATCAACATACCCAATATATTCCCAACAGGTTGGGGTCTGGGGGTCAATTGTACGCAGACCTTATCCTTATAATTATACAAGGAGGCTGTTCCATAGCGACCCAAGGTGCGTTGCGTCGTTTGATATATTTTTTTTCTAGAAACTTCACTAATAGAAGAAGCACTAGAATGTAATTGAGTCATTTTGATCTAGTCCATTATTAGCACTATGCCAGGAGAATTGTCAACAATGACTCTTCCAGCTCCATATGCAATGGACATTTAAGACTTCAAATACATGCACGCATTTTGCTCCTTGTTTAGTAACTTCGCACATATTATCATAGGTTGCTAGCCTTCTCCATGATGATGTGTTGGATGATGCCGATACTAGACGAGGGATTGGTTCATTGAACTTTGTGATGGGAAATAAGGTACTTCGTATTTTCTCTTTTGCAACCCCAAAATGATTTTGAGATGATAAGATGTGACTTTGTTTTAATTGGAAAAATGCTTTTTTGTGTTTATATATGTGTATATATATAATATATATATATATATATATTATATATCAATATGTTTATTTGGCAGTTAGCTGTATTGGCCGGAGATTTCCTACTATCTAGAGCTTGTGTTGCCCTCGCCTCTTTGAAAAACACCGAGGTACAAACTCTTAGGGTGTGTTTGTTTATAAATAAATTACATCCATACTCAATTCATACTCAACATCGACCTCAACTTTAACTCGATCTCACTACCATCAATATTATTACAACAACAACAACAACAACATACCTATACCCAGTATAATCCCAACTGGTTGGGGTTTGAGGGTTCAGTTGTACGCAAACCTTACCCTTGTAATTATACAAGGAGGCTGTTTCCGTAGCGACCCAAGGTGCATTGCGTCATTTGATATATTTTTTTCTTAGAAACTTCACTAATAGAAGAAGCACTAGAATTTAATTAAATAAAATTAAATAATGTCAGCCAATCATTCTTACACATTACATCAATTTCAATTCATTATTCATCTTCTCACATAATTTTTAACTAACCATCACTTTACATCATTTCTCTCCTACTTTTTTATTAAGTCAATTTTTTTAATTATTATTTTAGTATAAACTTAAAATTCAATTAACAACTAACCATACCATTGTTTTTCAAAATTAACTTCGGTTAACCAAAGAAACTCGTTTTTGCGGATATATTTGTATCCAAGCATGCCCTTAACCCATCGGCATATTTCTCTTGCTCACTTGTGAAGTGCATTTCTGAAATGAACTTATATACCTGACTAAGGTACAAAACTATATTGTATATTGATTTTAGAACCACACTAGACACATGTAATTTGCTCTTTCACTATTTTTTTTTTCGTTACTGCTTTTGTATTTTGCACAGGTCGTGTCCCTTTTGGCTAAAGTTGTCGAGCATCTTGTTACGGGAGAAACCATGCAGATGACTACCACATCTGATCAGCGCTGCAAGTAAAGCTATTACAAATTATATTCAAGAACCTTTAAAAAAAAAGGAAATTGTATTCATCTTATAAACGTTTCTTTCGGCAGCATGGAATACTATATGCAGAAGACATACTACAAAACTGCCTCATTAATTTCAAATAGCTGCAAGGCAATTGCTCTTCTTGCTGGACAATCTGCAGAAGTTTCGGTCCTAGCCTATGATTACGGCAAAAATCTGGTTAATACTTTTTTTTTTCTCTTCTGATCCACGATTGGTAAATATGTTTTTTTGCATTCCATGATTTTTTAGATTCATATTGAGTTCAGTTCTATTGTTACGCATTTTTGCAGGGATTAGCTTATCAGCTAATTGACGATGTACTTGATTTCACTGGCACATCGGCTTCACTCGGAAAGGGCTCCTTATCCGACATTCGCCATGTAACTCTTCTTTTTCCCTTTATCTTTTTATGTACGTTAGCTCGATATTCTAAACACGCCTGAGTGAATTGTTTGGATTTTCTTTATCGATTTTT